GAGAGGGAGAGAAGTGAGAGAGGCAGGTGCAGCCGGGCAAACCTGACACAATCCACGTCAAACATACACAGCCAAGGGATCCAAAAGGAGGGAGGTAAGAGAGAGAAGTCCGAGGGTCGATACACAGATGCAAACAAATCTAGGAGGGCAAGGCAGAATCGGTGGTCTAAACAATCTGAGATCACAACAAGAATCACAACAAACAAGAACACTGGAAAGTCTGCATGGGAGTCTAGAACAATCTGGCAGCTTTCTGAAAGGAGGAAAGCTGCTAATGAAGGGGTGAAAACAGGTGATACCAATGAGTGCTGATTAGAGTAAAGGGACTTCTAGCAGAGTGAAACCAAAACAGGAACTGAGAACAAAATAAAAGCATGAGACTGGAAACCATCGGGGCCGAAACCTGACAAATAGCAAGTACTCTTGGTCAGAGATCTTCAGGGGTGGGGGGCTATGGGGATGGAAGGTGCTCATATCCCCGCTGAAGTAGCTGTTCCCTGTTGTGCCAACAAGAATGTCCCTGCCGAAATCTCAATTCATCGGTGTACCAAAACATCCCCACCAAGGCTTGGTTGAAGGTGACTCTGCCACTCCAGCGCCTGGGTCCTGGTGGGGCTACCACTGCTCTTTCTGTTTCCTGAGTGGACACCTGTGGTACTTCCACTCAGCTCCACTGGGTCACCAGTAACACCACCACTCCTATTTCTATGCTCCTCTAGGTCATGATGGATGCAGGTACTCAAGCAGCTGCCCAGAGCTGAATCTCCACTGCCTCAGCCAAAGCCCCCAAAGTGGTTCTGACCTCTCCAGTTTAGCCTGCTGTAGAGCGGTTTCACTACGGATGCCAGCCACCTGTCTGTTCTCCTGAGAGGCTATGCCACTGACACCAGCCACCTGTTTGCCCTACTTCAAGCAGATCCTGCCTTCACTTTTGGTTAGCCTATTGGCCTCAGCTTCCTGCCTGGCTCTGTGGCCATCCTCCTGAGCACCCTCTGTTTTCTGCCTGACTCCATGAACATCCTCTGTTCTTTGCCTGGTCCCCAGGTCATCCTCCAGAGTTCCCTGCCTGGTCCTGAGTACCTCACCTAGAGTGGCTTCAACTCTCTGCCTGCTTCAGTGGGCATTTCTTTGAACTGTGGACTTTTTTGACTATCCTGGTTACCTATATTTCCAGATCATTGCATTGTTCCCTGGCTGTGCTGTTTAGTTGTTAGTTTTCTTTAGATGTCTTGTGTTACAGTTTGTCAAGTAGTGCTCTTCAGATTCTTTTTGTTTCATGTTACTTATATTAAACCTTACTAATCAGACATTTGTCTGAATTTGGATCTTTTGATTAACATAATTTCACATTCTTAAATCTAACATTTTCATTGTCACAGGGAGAGATAGGAGGGAGAAATACTATGCCAATTTCATGGTGGTAACGAGCAGAGCGGAGTCTCAAGTCTGCATTCCAGCATAGTGTGGAGATGAAGATACTAAATAATGAAAATAGATTCTTTCTAGGTGTCCTGGTGTCTGAGTTCCCCTAGGAGAGAATTGGATAAGACCAAATGGCTTGGATTTGTTTCAGTTAACTCAAACTTACTGTCTAAAGTCAGAGGCATGAGTTCAGACTGTGTATTCAGCAATCAGAATTGAAAGGGAGCTGGGGGTTCTGTAGATGCAGAGGCTGGGCCTGGTATCTCATCTTGTGTGCATGAGGAGGATGGGGAGATAAGGTGTGAGAGGGGGCATCTGCATGAAGCAGTCTTGGCTGAAGTAAACCATGCCTCTGTCCACATTTTGCTGTGTGAGAGGAGCACATTTACATTCAGAGGGCCTGGCCGTTGGGCAAAGACAGGGCAGACATTGTTGGGGGTGAGAGTCTCTCTACTCCTCACTGCCTGGAAATATGGTTATTCAGGGTTCCTCATCTTAAAATGCGTCTCTTCAGGATGTTTCTTGGACTTGTGTGCACAACAGTAATGTCGTTAGTGTTGCAGGTACATAATAAATACAAAAGATTTTGACCTGATGATGGTGCTAGATAAAAAGAACATTTATCCTGAAGGGACAGGACAGCTTCCTTTTCACACTTACACTATGGCTGTTTAGAACCACGATAAACACTTTTGCCCTCTAACTTTGTCAGACAATGCATCATGCCAACCAGTTTTTTCTAGTACAACCTAGCCATTAATTTTGATATTCGGTATGTTCAGTTTGTCTGCCTTTAAACATTAGTCTAAAAATGCACAGAGAAGGTGTGCCTCCACATTGTTAAAAGCCAAACAGCCTACCTTTGATAACTAGAGCACCACCATTCAGCAGATCTCCGATAAAATTCTGATGCACACATTGGGGCTTTGGGTGTACTTTCAGAGCATAGTGCATCAATTAGCATGATAATGACATCATTAATGGATCCTCAGTCTGGCTGATTGCTTAATTGGGACCAGCAGAGGACAAGGGTGATGTCTAAATAGAGTCCCCTGTTCTTTGCTAGTATTGTCAATATAGAACAGTCATTGGTGAACCAATCAAAGGTTCATCACATGGCACATTTAAAACAGTCCCTCATGCTGACAGCTAAGGCCAACTGATGGCTCATTATCCAGCAGTTGAAAATTGCAGCCATCCTGAACAGAATTTCAATTATGCACTTCTTAAAACACTCACCAGATTAAAGATGTTACAAAAGGCCACTCACTGCAATCAGCCTGACTGATTAGCTTTTCATATAGAGGATGAAAGCTGTGCTTCTAAATACATTAAATCTTTTTTTTTTTTGACTCACAAGCCACTCCTTTTGCACTCTCGTCTACATTTTCCACATTTATTTCAGTGTTGAATTTCAATAATGGAGAGAAATACTAAAAGTTCATAGAAACAGTAGACATAAAAAAAAATCCCAGTCATCCTGTGATGCCACCTTTAACCGCAGAAAACATAGAATATGTTCACACTGTACTTTGTACTGCATTTTTATGTACAGGGATTTAGACAAATCAGCCAGGTCTAGAACCCATAGTTCTAATCGTAATTCAAAACATTTTAAAATTGAAATCGAATTTATGTGAAATACAGGACTTGTGCATCACAATGTAGACTCTAGGTTCCACTGGTACAGCTCAGTTGACACTTAGCCAGTAATTGGCCCCAGTCAAACTGTATGTAACAAAAGTAAATAGTATAACAGTAACAGCATAAGCTAGGGACAAAAGCTGCATTTCTACTATCAAAACCTAACGAGCAGTATACCCCGTACTTCACCCTGCATAACCTCCCGAGTTGGCAGAGTAGAGTCATCATAAAGTCTGGGTCAGCTGACTTGGACATTTGCGCTCTCCCATACAGCTCCTCTGAGTAATGTCTAGAGAATTTCAGGGTTCCAGTACATGTCTAAAGGGCTAAAGAAGTCCGTGTCTCTTTAGTGAGTATAGAATATTAAAGAACACATCTACTAAAATGGTAAGCATTAAAAAACTAAAGTCCAAAAATAATTTTCATTGTAATTTTGGTGAAAAGATGACATGCATTTATTTAAAATAAAATAAGTTAAAATAAGATTGAAAAAAAATTCAATAGAATATTGTTTCCTAGTTTGATGGAAAAAAAACAACCAACTGATTGGGTATCAAATGCCACATGTGTACTTGAAGACCCAGAAGCAGACTCAGGACAAGGAGACAGTGACCTCAACAATACGCTGCACCCTACATGCTCAGCACTAAACAGCTGACAGATACATAGCTGGCAAACATACTGGAGCAGAATGGTAATGTTGCTCTGCCATTGCTAAATGTGGAACTATGAATCTGTTTGCTACAGAGGTGTAGTAGGTAACATGGAAAAGCGTGAACCTTTTATTAAAATATGAATCCTCAAAAGACAAGGATGTAACACAGGCCTACACCCAGTCTGTTTGTTTTCACGTTGAATTTATGGGTCATGAAACACTGAAATTCCTGTCCATACATAAAGGTAATTTACAAGATAAGTACAATAAATTACTTTATTATTTTACAGGCTATCACCTGCCTTATATTTTATCTACTTCAATAAGTTAAATAAAGTTCAATGCTTGCAGTAAAGCTGTGAATATTATGGCATTTAAGTGGCAAAGCCACTCAACAAGCCCAAAGAAAAGCATTAAAATGTTGTGGAATTCTCCAAATGAAAAAATACTTGGTCTTTTGATGAAACTAAATGTGGCAACAGCTCTGATGGTGCTGAACACTGGTGGAACGTAAATAATTATGTGTACTCAAATTTCGTATTTAAATGCAATTTTGTGGCATTATTTCTTTACTTGAATATTTACATTTTTATTACATTCATTGGTCCTCACCATAATACTGTGTACTATGTGTACACAGTATACTGTGTATCCCTGTGGTCTTAACAAACATTCAATTTTTCTCCATCATTAATGGAATTACTTGTAGGCTATGTACTGTATTTAGAACTATCGACTACCGATCAGTATATTTTTGGCCACATCACCCAGCCCAAATTCACAGTCCTATTACCAAATCTACAACATAAAATAACCCCAAACTCCTTTAGGAACCTTAACAGGACCTTGTTGTCCTTATAATGTACCTGCAAATGGCTGTTCCAAATATTTACAACTGACATCAAATATACTAACAATACACATATTTGCTTTCTACTGGTCAAGATGATCAGTTATCAATAGAACAAAATTATTCGAAGGAATCTAAACTCAACCAGTCAGACTCTAGATCTAAAACCACTACTGAAGAAATCAACAGTATCTCAAATGGAACGGTGATGAAATCTAACCACTTTGGGACGTGGGGTAACTGACAAAAAAGGGGGTAGGGGAGTTTATTTTGTAATTTCACACCTAGGTCTATCTGTAAAACTTTGGATCTGGTTTCTCAGGTAGTCCAGTTCTCATTGCCAGAATCTTATCTGGAGGAACAATTGACATCTTTTAATGTGATGATAATTGTTGCTTATTGTGAAGTCCTTTTATTCCTAGAGCAGTACTACTGTCCCAGCACTGTCACTCCTGTGGGGAAAAAAGTGTGTGAAAATATGTGAGTCTTTGCACTCTCCTCCTATGTTGTCTTGCAGGAAGATGGAGGTAACTTAGGCCAAGGAAGACAAGCAAGGTTCCACAGATTTTTTTTCTGTCCGGTGACATCATCAGATCCCTTATTTCCCTTCTTTGGATCTTTTTGGCATCTTGCGGCATAGATTGTCATGGTCAGCAGTGCCTAGTATGGTCCTTTCCACTTAGTCTAGTAGTTTTAATCGAGTAGAGATTCTAGTAACACAAAATGTCTTGGCTTGGTAGTGCAGTATCTAGCAGTAGATTATTGCTAATGTTTTTCCTGGCATTTGTTTGTTGCTCACAGCAATTTCAGCATTTTTGCTTTTGCTCCATACACACTGCCTACAATGCTTGGACAAAAATTGCCTGACAACCTCCACATGCGATCTACCGCACACCAGTGAGTGATCTGGAGTAATATTCTGGATGTTTTGATCCAGAATGTCTACATTTATAGGGTTCACAGAAAACTTACTACTGTGAGACAACAAATAATGCTACAGACGTGTAACTAAGATCAAATTCTAGCTGAAACTCTACTGATTCAGTTTGGTGTCGACAGATTTTATGTATCTTTAAAAATTATTGAGCTGGATCCTGAAGAATACTGCCATTAATGAAATATAAATTTTCTGGAATGACTTTCAAACTAACTGCTAGTGGTAGGTTTTTATGGTTATGGCTATGAGGGTCAAACTGTCATGGGAATATTGCTTTTATGTGTGCTGGTATTATGGGGACAATGATCTGCCTTGGTGGAGGTGTGTGCTCTCTGAGTGCTGTCTAGTGTGATGTCTGTAGGGTATTTACATGGGGCACCCATGTGCTGCCATTTGGATCCTGTTTAACTGTTCAAAAACCAGACCATAAAAAATGTTTTCACACTCCTATGGATACAATTTCACATTTCAGTTGGGAAAGCCCTTGTAAACATCAAAATACACGCTGGGATCCATCAGTCTTAGATTTTTTTTTTAATCCAGTATTTATTTATATTATTTCTGAGTCAAAGAATACCACTGCTGTTCACTTGGTGTGTGATGGTATTTTATGATACGGCCAATTAAAAATAATGATCTTGTATTAACATTTCAAGCCACTCCAGAAACACCCAGCACAGTGGAAATGAAAAACCTGATTAGGATTCATCCATTGCTGTCACCTCATCAGTTCAGCTACATAACAAAGGGTCACTATAGGTTTTATTGTGCGGTATTTTCTGGAACTGAAGCCATTTTT